TACCTCCTGCCATGGTTCTTCCACCAGCCCAGGGTGCTCCAAGCCCCGTCCAACCTGGCCTTGGACACTTCCAGGGATCCAGGGGCAGCCACAGCTTCTCTGGGCAACCTGGGCCAGGGCCACCCCACCCTTATAGGGAAGGATTCTAACCCTGCCCTCTGGCAGTGAGAAGCCATTCCTTGTGTCCTGTCCCTCCATCCCTTATCCAAAGCCCCTCTCCAGCTCTTCTGGAGCCCCTTTGGGCACAGGAAGGGGCTCTGAGGTCTCCTTGGAGGCTTCTGTTCATGCTTAGTTTAAAGAAGATTTTTTGGGTTTTGGTAGCTGTTACCTTTTGGTCACTTCCTCCCTAGGTGGACTTTGGATGCAACCCATAAAGAGTATAATATATTAAATATCATATCATATATTATCAAGGCCAGGTTGGACGGGGCTTGGAGCAACCTGGGCTAGTGAAAGGTGTCCCTGCCCATGGCAGGGGTGGGACTGGGTGGGCTTTAAGGTCCCTCCCAACCCAAACCTTCTGTGATTCTGTTCTACAAACAGTTCCTGGTCACTTGTCAGGCTCTGTTTTCTCTGGCTTCTCCATATATGCATATCTTGGAGACAGCTCTGAACAGGTCCCCACTGGACAGCAGTGCCCTGCACAGTGGTTTGGCTGAGTATTTGCAGGCTCCTCTGATCACTCCTGTCTGGTGAATCGAGTGTTGTAGCCACTGTCAGGAAAGGGGCGTCTGTTCACTGACTCAGAATTTTAACCTCTCTCACGGATTTGTGGATGCAATGAAATCCTTTGTGTGGTCCTCACACACTGGATCCGTGTGTTCATGTTCCTGAGTCCTGACCGGCCGTCCCCAGAGCCCTGCTGTTCTGCAGTGGGCCGAGAGGGGGGTCGGTTGCGCTTTGCCCATCCCATAATCCCGTTTCTCTCCCCGCAGCGTCGTTCTCCCGGGAGACACGTTCGAGCTGCTGCGGAGCGGGCTGAGGGCCACACACTGCGACGTGTCCTGGCTCTGGGAGTACGGCAACTACACCCTGCAGCTGCGGGCCCAGGCGGGGCAGGGCCACTCGCCCTGGGTCACCCTCAGCTTCAGCCCCATGCACGACAGTAAGGCCCCCCTGCCCTTCCCCTGTGCCCCCAGCAGCTCGGGTGCCCTTCCCCGGGCACCCCGGAGAGCAGCTGCAGGGTGCAGGTCGGTTCTTGACTGAACCACCTGGAAAATCGTAGTTGGAACACTTGAAGGCAGAAAGCAGAGTGGGTTTGCTGTTATATATTGGTAACCTGCAATCTCTTTTGAGGAGATTTTCTAANGGTTGGACGGGGCTTGGAGCAACCTGGGCTGGTGGAAGGTGTCCCTGCCCATGGCAGGGGTAGGATGAGATGATCTTTAAGGTCCCTCCCAACAACCCAAACCCTTCTGTGATTCTAACTTCTGTGTTTGTGATGTGCAGTGTGTTTGAGTTGATTTGTTGGGTGTGAGATCAACGCTGTAGGGATTGAATCTGAAATAGTTTTTATTTAAGCTCGATTTAGATTTCAAGCTCCTGTCTGCCAAAGGTGGGTAACTGGCACATTAATTTCATTTATTTCTGCAGCCCCTGGCCCTTAGGGACATGGTTTAGGGACTGGATGACCTTGAAGTTCTCTTCCGACCTTGATAATTCTGTGAACTGTTGACATATAAATTGTGTTATTTATCTCTCAACATCTGTCATCAGGTTTGACACCTGTGACATGTAAGGCCTGAGCTCATCTGGCAGGGTTTGTTTGCATTGCTCATTTGTGTTGCAATAATGAGCTGGAATCTTTTCTATTTCAGTTTCAATACCAGCAATTATTTAAAGATCATTAAATCATGATAGTAATAGACTTTCATCAATACTTTACACTATTTTGGGGTTTCTTTTATTCAGTTTCCAAGCAAAGAAAACAACTGTTCTTGTCACTTGTGAATAGTGCTGATTAATGATTATTATATTGAATAACTCACCTTCACAGGTGTTTCTGGTTTATCTCTGCTTGTCATTCCCCACACCCTGCTATTCCCATAGTGCTGCTGGAGCAGTGCTTCAAAACGTTTGGGTTTGCCAGTCTCAGGGAGAGTTCCTGCCCTGGGTGCTGGGCAGTGCCAGGTCAGCCGTGCCCAGTAAATGGTGGTGTCATAAACACTTACTGGAAGTCACTGGTGCTGGTAACTCCTTTGTGTTGCACAAGCTCAGAGGGCACGGGAGGCGCCGGGGTGTAAATTAATGGTGTGGAGGCCTGATTTGAAAGGAGCATCTGAGGCAGGAGCTGCGTTTAAAGCTCGGCTGTGAGGAGTGGCAGCGGAGCTGAGATGTTTGTGTTTGTTTGGATTGCTCCCGCAGTGGCTGGAAGGGTGCCAAGGCCCAGGAACGCCAGGATCACCTCGGTCAATCTGCAGAGCACTCTGCAGTGGGAGGCACCGAGGTTCCCCCGGGGGAACGTCACCTACACTGTCCGCTACAGGAGGTGGGTCTGGGGGTTCTGCTTTCTCTGATCCACAGTGTACAGCTCTGAGTGTTCGTGATTTGTTTCCTCTTCAGAGGAGCTGCCCCTTTCTTTTAGCTTGTGAGAGGCTTCTCTGCTGGGCTAAGAACAGGGCAGAGGCATTTTCTGTGCCTTCACACCCCAGGCAGCTTTGTACCTTTTGTTTTTGGAATGGGAAACATCTTTGAACAATGGATGTTATTCACTCTGTGTGTGGGTTATCATGTAGCTGTTACCTGTGATTCAGGAGACTGGGTCCTGCTGAGCATTTGCTCCTTCCCTGACCTCTCAGATGGAGCCACCCAGTGCCACCCTTGCCATGGGCAGGGACACCTTCCACTTCCCAGATTGCTCCAAGCCCCATCCAACCTGGCCTCGGACACTT